GAGCTAGTACGTGCTTATATAGATATTCTTCATTTAACTACACAACTGTTCAATAACTGCTCCAAGTTTTGATCAAGGCATGCTATTTGGAATTTAGGACCCACGACTTAAGACTTACAATCCCTTTCGCTTTTGGTATAGTTCTATACCTCTTATATATAGCCTTAATGTCTTGTGTTTATACAGTACACCTTGTTTATATAGCACCATAATTTTTTCTCATTGCACTGTATGCTACTGTAATTCCATGTTCTAGTATACATTGCTACATGTAAGTTATGCAGATAAAAGCACATTTATCAAGTTGAACTTTCCTTTTACCATTTCTTTATTCTGAATATTATAATACACATATTTTTTGTTTTTTATGTATTTGGTACAGGGTTTTGCTATGTGGCTCAGACTCGTAGTGATTCTCTTGTTTTCAGCCTCTCCAGCGCTGGGATTATATGCACAGTCTCAGTGGCCGGACTGGTGCACGCAGCATGGCATGCGGTACTGAGGATTAAACCCAGGTCTTTGCACATTTAAAGACCTAATCTCAGGGCTATAAATTGGTTGTTAAATGGAATGTCTGTAATCTTAGCACTTTGGGAGGCTGAGGCAGAAGGATCAAATGTTTGAGCCCAGCCTGGTCAAATTACCAAGACCCTGTTTCAAAAATGTTAAAATTTTTAGGGCCGGCCAGATAGCACAGTGGACTAAAGTGGCCTGCTTAGGCAGGTACCAGGACTGGGGTTCGATCCCTAGAGTGCTGTGCCAGGTCTGCCACCAGGGCGTGCTGAGATGGTGATTGAGACTGGGTGTGGTAGCACGCCTAAAAAAATGTTAAAAATTTTAAAGATCTGTAGCAGTAACTTGAGTTCAAAGGTGTAGGGTTCAATCTCAGTACCACAAAGGGGTTGGGGATGGAGTACATGGTAATATCCATATAACAAACTCTAGCAAGATACAGACTGAAAAATGTAGGTAAGTTTTCCAGTGAGGGTTATTGGTTACCACATGAGTAGTTCAGACGGTGGGAGTAAGAATCTTAGAATAGAAAGTGAAGGTGGATATAACTGGTCAACATCAGAAGAGCTTGTAGAGCTGGCCACACATTGAGGATGATTGACTTTGAATAGAGAGTTGTCTCTTTTTCAGCAGTGTCAGTTAGGATATGAGTAAAGCTAAATGAGAGGATAGTTCAGGAAGATCACTTCTGGAAATGTTTCCACAGTGGCACCTTCAGTAAGATCTTTTGTGAATAGTTAGTTGGTAGGAATGGTACATAATTGAAGCCATGTGAAGCAGGTAGATATTAGAGTGGAGGGGGAGGCAAAACAGGGCTGTTTTGGAGTTGTTGAAGGCCTTGATGAAATGGAAAATCTTGATGTTCTCATAGCACAGCTGCTCTCAGTATTGTGCTGCTTAGGCCTCTGAGGTCCCCAGGATCTTTTCAGAGTATCTGTGAGTTAAAACTATTAACAATACTACTAAAGCATCTTTATACTATTCTCTATGCTGCCATCTGCACTCATGATACAGAGACAGTGATGAGTAAGACTGAAGCACCTTGGCCTAGGGCAAGGCCACAGCACCACATTGCCAGTTCTTAAAAGCTTAAAAAAAAAAAAAAAAAAAAAATGCCAGTTACACCAAAGGATATCCTTGATGAAGCAATAAAGAATATGTACTTTGTTAAATCCCATCCTCAATACATGTCCGTGTGACATTCTGTGTGATAAAATGAGAAGTATATCTAGAGCATTTCTGCTGCTTATGGAATGAGGTGGTTGTTCTCAGAGAAGGTGCTTGTACAATTGAGCTGTGAGCTGAATAAGCTACTTTTTAAAATCAATCATCGAGAGTTACAGAAGGGTTCTGAGAAAATTAAAGGAGTACTGTTGTCACAGCAGTTTGTATAGTTAGGCCATTTTCTCTGATACTACCCAGACACTCAAATAGAAGATAAAAGTGAAGGGTACAGCACTGTTTCAGGGTCAGAATTCTACTGAGTAGGCAAGATGGGCCAAAAGAGATGCTGTGCTAGGACCAGAAGGGAAACGATCTTGAAGATGGAAGGGAGATGGGCCACACATTATGTATCCTTCACAGTTAAAAGAAAATGAGTACTAAAAGGGCCAGGGACCATTGTCAGATGTAATTTCAGCCTCAGAGACCAGTCTTTTCAGGGAAATAAACTGTATCCAAATAAGTACACAGGCTGCCATGATTCATGCTATCCAAGTGGTACCCGTGGGTCTTGGCGTGGCGTGGGAGGAGGGGGCTGGGCACACTAACTGTGGGATCAGCACCTGTCAGCTACTTCCCATTTCTCTCTTTCTTTTTTGGTAGCTATGAATAATGCAGAAATAGCACTTGCAGTTAAAGGCGGCTGAAATCTAGTTATTTTTCAAGTAGGGGGGGGAAGAAGACATTTTCCTTTGAAATTTTTGCCTGTAAGTTTAAGGGTGTAGAATTTAACTGGAAGGAGCTAACAGATCTGTTTTAGAAATGCTGAAGCTGAGTAATAATTGTCATTAAGTGCTTTCCTGCTTAATGTAAGTATGAGTGGGGAAGATGTGTCCACACAGTTGCTTAGAAATAATGCTGTTGGCCCTGGGGATACAGCTCAGTGGCACAATGCTAGGCCCCAGTAGTCAGTACCAAAGAGAAAGCAAGCAAGAGAGCAAGTTAGCTGACTTCCTAGGCTTTTCTTTGTACTGACAGTGCCTGACTGGGCAAAAGACCAAATGATTTAATTGTTTCTCAAAAAAGAAATCATTAGAAAAATATCCATGAGCTCTTTGTGGTGAAGTGATCAGGACCAGGAAGGTCAGTTTTATTACCTGTGTTGTAGACAATTTAAAGCTGACATTACATCTTAAGCCATTGCCAACACACCCGCCAAAGTATTTGGAGCAACTAGGATTTATTTTTGTTTGTTTATGTTTGCTTGTTGTTTTTGGTGGTACTTGAGGTTGAAATCAGGGTCTTACATATGCTGGGCATACACTGTAGCACTGAGCTACATCCCAGGCCTGGCAAGTAGGATTTGAACTGGAGGTGTCTGAATTCTTGATCATCGCTTGTGACTTGACCATAACTACTTAAAGGATCTCCTCCTCCAAAACCTCACCATTTGTACAACCTGTGTACAGCTGATGGCCTGAACACCTCTACTGACCACACTCTGCTTCCATAAAGACCAAACCTGTTGGGAGAACTTTCTCTGCTCCAAAAAGTTGTTTAGCCTACAAAACAAAGTGTCATTTATTCCATAATTTTCTAAGGTATAGTTAGGGTTATGTATCAAAAAGATTATAACGGGGCCCAGCCCTAGCTCAGTTCTTTAAGTGGCTGCTTCCACAAAAAGATTATAAATGGAAGCACAAATTTTTTTGAAATATATTGCAGACTTTAAAAAGAAACAATGTATGCATACTGGGTATGAAAAATGTGCTGTTATCTGTGATTTCTCATATATCCAGCATGTGGCTTGCTGCTTTTATTATTTCGTCTTGTCTTAAAAGATCAGGGGTTGTCCCTTTAATATCATGCAATAAAGGATGTCAAAACATGGGACCCAGGGGGCCTGGCCATAGCTCAGTTCTTTAAGTGGCTGCTGTGAGCCTCAGGTTGCTGTAGTTCGACTCCCACAACACTCCAGCCAGACAAACCATGCCTGAGGGCATTCAGAGCAAAAAAAAAAAAAAAAAAAAAAACACTTATTCCATTACCGGGGAGATGGCCCAGTGGAAAACATGGGACCCAGGCTGAGAACACACACATGCACACACAAGCATAAACACATGTGCATGCACACCCTTCAGCAACAAGGTACCTGCCACCTAGCACAAAGGCAATTACTTCAGAAGGTTTACTGTTCTGCCGTCAGTGGTTAAACATTTTAAAATAAGTAAGTGATTAAATTTTTTTTCTCGAAAATAAGCTAGAACTGATTCAAGTCAATCATTAATATTAAATCATACCCAATATATTTTGATTATTACTTTTTGTTTTTACATTTTAAGAGGATTTAATAGCACATGCTAATTTGTAGATAGGTAAGGTTGTCATCTGCAAATAACCTACCTACTAAATCACTTTAGGCTGGATGTGATGGGACACACCTGTAATACCAGCGCTGAGTAGACTAAGGCAGGAGGATCGCTGTAAGTGTGAGGCTATCGAGGACTACATATAAGCTCAGTGCCAACCTGAACTATGTATAGTGGGAGTCTGTCTAAACTAAAGTAAAATACATCATTTTAAGAAAATGGGCTTTCCTGGGAGTTGTTGTTCAGCAGTACAGTGCTAACCTAGCATGTATGAGTCCCTGGGTTCAATTCCCAATACCACCATAAAAAGAGGCTTCATGAAGGAGATATCCATATATTCTCTAAAATATTTTTATTGGCTGTTAGCTTTTCAGATTTGCAGCAGGTTGTTAGATCTAGGCCTTAGAATTTGCAGGGTACCTGAGAGTCTGTGAGCTAGGACTGAAGGGGATAGGGTAGTTCCTTTTTTTCTTTTCCCTATCTTAAGACTCCCTGATAGGATTTAATTTGAAGGAAGGACCTGCTACTCAATTGAAAACCACTGGGCTGAATATAAATAAATGGAAATGGTGAACCTAAGGCCTTTGCATTAGGCTATATTGCCTGCCTTCCCTTTTTCTATTTTTGAGACAGTGTCTTACTAAGTTGCCCAGTGGGGAGTTGAACTTGGAATCCTCCTGCATCTACCTCAGTGTTTTGTAAAGAACCCCCGTTAGCCACCTCTTCTCCACAACAATAATGTTGTTCCTTTCTGAGCATTGGGAATGACATCTGTCAGGTGGTCAGCACCTGTGTTCACGCAGGCTGGAGAGACAGGCATACAGTTGGTGCTTAGTCTGCTAGCTTCTCACCTCACAGTAATGCTTTGCTCCTTTTTTGTGGGTTGTTAAACAGGAAATGTAAAACACTGGGGACTGTTGCCTCTGCTTTTTATACTGAAAACCTGTTTCTTTGTAGCTCTGGACTTACTGGACAAAATGTTGACATTCAACCCTCACAGGAGGATTGAGGTTGAACAAGCTCTGGCCCACCCATATCTGGAGCAGTATTATGACCCAAGTGATGAGGTAAGAGCTTATGCTGCTGGCCAGTTCCTTAAACATAGGAATGGGCCTAGCCATATCCTGTGTTGTAGATTTTCCTGAAAGGTATATGGTGGCATATCTGGTCCTCCAAACACACTCACCTCTTCTGCTTTGCAGACAAGCATTGTGGGTATACTTTGATATCCCTGCTCCTCAGGCTTCCTACAGCAGGTGGAGACCAGAAGAATGCATAAAGAGAAACTGCTATATCAATGTGGAGCATGTAGAGGGCAAGGGGATTGTTCTCCCTCCCCCTAGTGCTAGAGTGAAAACCCATAGCCTTACACATGCTAGGCAAATACTCTTAGGACTGAGCTACATGCCCAGCCTGTTATATTGTTTAGAGAAGGGTGCTTTCAGGAGTGTGGGCACAAGTGCATTCATACTTATCAGCACTGAGATCCAGGGAGTGTATGGTGCCGAGGTCAAACCCAGAACTTCACATATACTACTAAGCACATGCTCTTTACCACTGAGCTATAACCCCAGGCCTACAGCACTGAAGTTTTATGTGATATCAATCCTGTTGTATAAATCCCAAACTATAAGTCACTTATTTTGTGAATCAGTAAAGTTATGCCTTAACCATAACAACTTTTGACTATTAATGTTTTATTTTCTCTTAAAGCCCATTGCTGAAGCACCATTCAAGTTTGACATGGAATTGGATGACTTGCCTAAGGAAAAGCTCAAAGAACTCATTTTTGAAGAGACTGCTAGATTCCAGCCAGGATACAGATCTTAAATTTGTCAGGTACCCAGAGCTTTTTTAGCCATACAATTAACTTAAATGTCATAAGAAAGAAAAAGGATTTAATGTATCCCTCTTTGGTTGAATATAGATTTTGTACTGATTGCTTCATTATTTAAAGCTGGAGAAATTGGGGCTGGGGAGATAGCTCAACAATCTCAGTGCCTGCCTGGTAAGCATAAGATGCCGAGTTCAATCCCTGATACTGAAAGCCCTGCTGGCTCTGCCCCCAGGCACCCTGCAGGAGCCCTGAAACTGGGCATGGTGGCTCACGCCTGTAATCCCAGCACTGGGGAGGCTGGGACAGGAGGATTTCTACAAGTCTGAACTGCATAGTGAGACCCTGTATCAAAAAGAGTAAAAATATAGGGGCCAGGGATATAGCCTAGTGGCATAAGCTCCTGCCTGGCAAGCACAAGGTCCCAAGTTCGATCCCTGGTACTGCAAAAAAATAAATAACAAAAATAAAATAAATAAAAATATTTTTTAAAAATGGAGAAATTACTGTTTGTTTTTCACCACTGTTCAAAACATATACTTGGAATACTTTAATCTCTGGCAGTTTATATGGACCTATGTTTACAAGAACATGAGATTGATGTGAAATTAATTTGTCAGGATTTAGAATACTATGTACAGTGAGATTCATTGTTTAGGGAGGAGACAGTAATGCTGATTTTCTTTGTGTGTGAAAGTAAACTTACAAGAGACAATGAAACTGAGGTCTTAATTCCTGAAAGTCTTACTACTTATTTACTGCATTTTTAATGTTAAGAAATTGTGATGTGGGGCTGGTGAGATGGCTCAGTGGTCTAAAGCACCTACTTAGAACAGGCTAAGCTAAACAAAGCACAGGGACCGCGGTTCAATCCCTCAGCACCACATGCCAGCCAGCCCCGCCCCCTGGTGGGCTGAGCTGGGGACACACACACACACACACACACACACACACACACACACAAATAAATTGTGATGTATAATTTTGGAGCCCTAGAAGTGTCCTCTACTTCACAGCCTGTGCTGAGGCTTGTACTGAAGTGTTACGCATGCTAGGCAAGCACTGTCACTGAGCTATACCCCAACCCACTAAGCCTTTTCTCTGAGTTAAGAACATAACTCAGTGCCTTAACTTAGGTACACATGATCACTAGTCAGAACAAAGAAACATTAATAGAGTTAAGTTGAGGAACAGGAAGACAGGGTAAGAGAAATAATCATAAGACTGTGTAGAAAAAAGTCAAGGAAGCAAGATGCATGGGTGTGTCAAGAAGACAGATTTCCACACCTGCACTTTCTCTTTTAGGAGATTCATAATATGAAGTGGATGTAATAGTGCTCTCATACTTGCTAGGAAGTGGAGACATTAGGTTTGCTGCTTTCCAAGAAGAGGAACTGGCTTGAGAAGGGCAGCTCTAGGCTCAAAGTAGCAGACTGATCTCTGAGCACTCCCCACAGTCAGAGTTGCCAGGCTTGTAGCCCCCAGCACTAAGAAAAAAAAACCAGGGACAAGGAGATGTAACTCAAGAATAGCCATGGCAGCTGGCATGGTGCTTATGCCTATAATTGCAGCTGGAGGCAAGAAGCAGGAGGATTGTTGTGAGTTCAAAACCAGCCTGGGGGGGCTGGTGAGATGGCTCAGTGGTCTAAAGCACCTACTTAAAACAAGCTTAGCAAAGCCCAGGGACCACGGTTCAATCCCCCAGCACCACATGCCAGCCAGCCCGCCCCCTGGTGGACTGAGCTGGCCACACACACACACACACACACACACACATAAATAAATAAAATTTAAAAAAAAATTAAAAAAAAAAAACAAACCAGCCTGGGCTACAAAGTGAGCTCAAGGCCACCCTGCCACAGCAAGACCCTGTCTCAAAAAGACCAAAAAAAAGACATGGCCTTCACATCCTCAAAGCAGAGAGCCTGATGCCAAGTTGCGGGGAAATTGGGAAGGAATAGACGCAGGTAATGTGTGGAGAAGGAAAGGGTTGCTTTCAGAAGTTTCACATCAAAGCACATGGAGTTAGAATGAGGGAAGTCTGGGTGGAAGATTCAGTGGAAAACAATGTTTTTCTACAACAAAGGGATGGCGGTATGTACTGAGGCTGTGGTAATGAGAAACTGTGAATTCAAAAGAATGGAGGAAAAACTAAAGGTAGAAGGACTGAAATTTCCAAATCTATCAAAGGGAAGGGTGGCCAGCACTGTTGACACTGCATACACCCTCAAAGACAAATTCTCAAACCAAAGTGAAGCACTGAGGAAGTGCTTGCTTACAGGTGTGAGCCACCACGCCCAGCTGCCTCATCTATTCCTGAGTTACATCTTCTTGTCCCTGATTCCTTGTTCTTAGTGGTGGGGGCTACAAGCCTGGCATGAGGTAGACAGGCCAGATGTAAACAAGGCACTGAGGAGCAATTTGACCAGTTAGGTTCATTCATCCTGTCAGTCATGCAAATATAACAGTCTCTTGCATTTGCCATATACAGTGATTTTCAAGATCACTCACTGCTATAAAGCCAGTCCTTGTGGAGCTTCTTCCCTAGCTCTTCTAGGTGATGCTCATGGTGTAGCTTGTTTCCCTTTCCCAGTAGCCTCTCCCCCTTGGCATGGGGTGGTGGTGGTGGTGGTGGTGGTGGTGGTGGTGGTGGTGGTGGTGGTGGTGGTGGTGGTGTTCTTGAGCTTACTAGGAAATGTGGATGTCAGGGATCATTGTTTCCCAAGAAAAGGAGTTGATTTCCTGTTAATAGGGCAGTTGTGTGGTGGCACTGTAAGTCTGAGTTGCTGCCAGGACAGATTGACTAGCTCTGATCAGTCTGCTGCCTATTATACATTGTTATCTACTCCCGGCTTGCCTGTGGTTTATTTTTTTCTGTGACAACAGATAAGGTAGTCATGGCAGAGACTCAAATGGCCTGCAAGGCTGAAGACATTTGCTCTTGACATTTTAAAGAGCAAGTTTGCCATCCCCTAGCCAAAAGGTTAGGCTGAGCAGCTTTTGTTGCCTTTCTTCTTTGACAGTTCCTTTCACAAGTCATGTTTTTGAGCTGGTCAGTAGTCTTCACCTTGCCCTCATCATCTTTGAATTAGTTTAAGACATGTGGACTGCTTAGTGTAGACTAGGTGATACATCAGATAGAAGAGCTAAGCAAGATGGGCAGGCCGAGGTTGTAGGAGGTCACATGATGAGTATTAAAGCCTCATTGATCTTCCCTGCAGACATGAAGGAACAATAAGCTGTCCCTTTGACAAATGAGCCAGTGTGCTAGCACAGTGCCAGTTCCAGGGAAGAGTGAATACAGCAGAGATGTGTTTGTTTGCCTGGACATCACATACTATTGATAATAGGAGGTAGATGAATCTTGTGCTAATTGCTTGCTCCTGTTTCTAAGTGAATGAAAGTGAGGTGAGACAAAGGCTCAGGGCTTTGTTCACTAAAGGCAGGAGCCCCCTGGCCCCTTTTTCAAAATTATCTCTATGACTTGTCTTCAGTCTCCTGTTTGCCCCCTCCAGTAAGGCATTCTTAGCAAACTGTTTTCCAACACCTGTGCATGGCCTCCAACGAGCACCCAGTCTAGCAGAGGAAAAGCTATACAGCTCTGGCCTGTAGTGTGGAAGGACATCTGGGGTTAACATGATGATCAGTTTTTCCCATCAATTCAGTCAGTGTTGAGCACTTCCTGGTGCCAGATAGGAGGGAAACAAAGGATGAGTAAGATCCAGACTTTGTTGTCTAGCAGCTTGACCATGGAAAACAGGTAAATAACAAGGAGTATGTACAGTATTAAAATTTATAGTAGAGTTAGATGTAGGTACAACAGACCCTGAAGAGTAAAAGCAGTTATGTTGAGTTGATCTGGTGGATTGGGAGCTTTTTACTGTGCAGTAATGATGAACCAGAAGTCAGTATGTAAGCACAGGCTACAGCTGAGTAGGAGGAGGCCAGAGAGGGACCAAGCTGGGACATAGCTCTTACCTCACTCATAGATAGTTGTTGCTGACTTGGGTGACTGAGGCAGTGAGGCTATAGGGAATCTGGATGAACAGGGACACATGGGAGGTCTGGCCAGATCACTAGAGAGAAGAGCAGCTTGGCAGTACAGAGGCAAGCCGGACAGAGGCCAGGGTGCCTCTGTGGCTCCACGAGCAGAGTGCCTGTCTCCTGAAATCCACATTACAGACAGGGATTCCCCATTGGTATGCACCTAACTGTGAGAACCCAAGTATGGCAAGGAAGTCACTTCTGTGTCCTCATTTGTTCCTGGGGTATGCATTAAGAACAGATGTTGGGGCTAGGGAGATGGCTCAGTGGAATAAGCGCTTCCTGGGCAAGCGCAAGGGCCCGAGTTCAATCCCCAGTTTTGCAAAAAAAAAGAACAGATGTTTAGTACATACCTAAAGTGTGGCTTTTTTCCTAATGTTTCAGTGATCATTTAGAACTATTCTGAAAAGCTGAAAGAATTTTAAACCCATATTTTTACCACCTAGATTCTATAATTAACATTTTACTGTATTTGTTTTCTTATCTATCTATCTGTCCATCTGTTCCTCCATCTACCCATCAACCATCTAATGTTTTTGGTGCATTTCTTCTAGCCTGATTTTCTTTTTTTTTTTTTTTTTTTCCTAGCCTGATTTAGAATTTAGTCATCTAGCTTATAAAAAAGTTGGTTGTGGTGGTACCTGCCAGTAATCCCACCACTTGGGAGGCTTGAGACCAGAGGATCACTGAACATTTGAGGCCAGCCTATGCTACAACGTCAGGTCAAGGCCAGTCTGAATTACATAGTGAGATCCTCTCTCAAAAACAAAAATGGGCCAGGGAGATGGCTCAGTGGAATAAGTGCTTCCCTGGCAAGCACAAGGGCCTGAGTTCAACCCTCAGTTCTGCCCCAAAAAAAGAAAAACTAAACTAAACCAAAAAAATAAAAGAATCTAGTGAAGATGGGCCTGGGAATATTCATTGAACTACAAGCCATATTCTTTCACAAACATTTCATTTTGGTGATCACAACAGCATTCTCTGAAATCAGCACACTTAGAATGGAGTATATAAACATTTTGCTGAGACTGTCCATCAGTGCACTGCTATACAGAGGATCCAGGCACTTTAGGCCAGAATGACATTTTCTTGTGATCCCTCCACACTTCCTCAAACAGCCTGGTGCTCTCAGAGGTTTTAAAACTTGTACAGAATATTACAGATCAATGGTCATAAGTCCCAACCTTCAGATCTGAGATCAGAAGTTCCAAATCTATGCAACACAGAAACATCAGAGAAAGGTGATTCTCAAACACTTAGCTGCGGTAGGAAAGGACTGGAAGACATACTGGGGACCCTTTGGTAAAGGAGGCCCTGAGGGATCTCTGTTTGCTGGGGGGCCATGTAGTAGTGATGTCCCTAATGATGGCCTGAGAGTTCTTAAAGGGTCACAGTAGTTCATTATGTTCTCCTTGGGAAAATAGTTGCAATGACTAAAAGATAAAAGCGGTCAATCTCTGTGTTAACCCGCATTGTTACCTGTCCCCATCTCACTAGTCCCCAAGACAGGAGGCTGTGCAGGTAGATGTAAGTGTTCGTCTTTCTTCCTTATCTGCCTATTTTGTGAATTTTCTCAGGAAAATTGGATCATTTGGGCCATTAGCCTTCTCTCCCTTTGGTTTCCCAGAAGACAGAAGCATTTTAGGGCAGTTTTAATTTCTGCCAACCAGTAGGTTTAGCTGCAGCTTCCTGACACGTACCTCTAAGGAGTCTGGGCTACTTCCCCATTAGCCTCTTCTCCAATCCATAGTTGGGCCATGACACCCATCCTTCTTGCTCTAACTGTTGAGTTCCAGGTAAAAGTCATAGCCCTAAAGCACTTTATGAAATATTTAAGTGATAGAATTTTATACTGGGAAGCATCTCAGGACAGTGAGAATCTCTAAAAAGAAGAGTCTGATTTGTTGGCTTTTGAAAATTTTGTCCCTGCATCAGCTGTCTAAACCAGGCTTCCTTAACAAACCACAGGACATGGAACATGATTTGTGTCAATGTCTTCATTTCTCAAGGAGAGTATAGAACAAACAGATACTTAACAAAGCTACTGTGTTAAAATTCACTGAATACTTTGGGGCAGTGGTTGTCCAGCTGTGGCCCATTTATATTCACCTCTAGCAACCTGAGGTTTAATGAACCCTCAAGATGCTAAGGCTAAGTAAGACCCACTTCTAGTTCGGAATATAGTTTCTTCAAGTAAAAATAGACATTACTGGGGCTGGGGAGATGGCTCAGTGGAATAAGCGCTTCCCTGGCAAGCACAAGGGCCTGAGTTCAATCCCTGGTTCCGGGAAGAAAAAAATAAATAAATAAACATTACTGCTGAGGCAGTAGCACACACTTCTACTTACTCAGGAGGCCAAGGAAGGAAAACAGGAAAGTCAAGACTGTCCTGGAGGGCCAGGGAGATGGCTCAGTGGAGTGCTTCCCTGGCAAGCTCAAGGGCCTGAGTTCAATCCCTGGATCCGCCAAAAAAAAAAAAAGACTGGCCTGGACATCAGAGGGGAACTGTACTACTTGTGCTTTCCTGAAACAGTGCTTCTGGTGGGCCTCTTGTAGGTGCTTATAGAAACCCCTGGAGAATCAAGGAGGCTTTTCCAAGAGTAACTAGACCACATGTGAAGACTCCTGGGAAGGTAGCCATCAGCTACCTTGACCTGGGTAATCCTATGCTACTTCCATACTTGGGAGCCAGCTCTTAACCTTCTCAGAATCCCAGTCCATCACCCTCACTGCCCACCAGAAATTGGTTTTGCTCTCAGAGAAAGCTTAAGCATTCCTAACAGCCCATGTTACACTGCCTGTGCATTGAAAACTTGATGTGTTGCCAGGGAGATGGTTCAGTAGAATAAGCTCTTGCCTGGCAAGTGCAAGGGCCTGAGTTTAATTCCCAGTTCCAAAAAAAAAAAAAAAACGTACAGCCTGAAAACTTGATGTGTTGTCATCCAGACAGAAAAACACTTAGTAAGAACAAGCAACATGTTCTCAAGATGTAGCTCAGTGGTTGAGTGTTTGCCTAGCATGTGTTGGGGTCCCAAGTTCTGTCCCACCCAAAAAAAAAAAAAAGATTCTTTTTTCCCCCCACAGAGGAGCTGCGTGGGCTAGTCTTTTAACTCAACAATCCTCCTCCTTCAGCCTCTAAGTGCTGGGATTACAGGCGTGCACCACTACACCCATCCCACATTCTTTTACAAACCCCCTTAAACTCTTAATTCTGCTGCTAAAGTGATAGCATTGGAGGAGTGCAGAAGCAACCCTAGCTGTGTGTGCGCATGCATGCATCTGTATGGTGTTTTGCAAACAGCTTCTTGGTAACTGTGAAGTAAGGGCAGAGCCCCAGTCCTGTCAGGACTGATACTGTTCACATACCCAGGTGTATGCAAGTAAAGTGACCTCTTTGGCAAGAGTAGTTCTCCTTCGTGTGAATTTTCCTGTCTCATAATGTTGACAATGACCTTTTACTGTGATTCATTGTTTTTTCACTTTTCCATTTTGTAAGCTGCGGCTAATGTTTTATTTTAACATGGCTCAGTCCTAACTCTTAGGTTTATCTGTTTGTATTTTTACAGGACATGGGCTCAGAGGACTGGACGTGCTCAGACATCGATGTTCTTCTTCCCAGTTCTTGACCCCTGCTCCTGTCTCCAGCCTGTGTTGGCTTATCCACTTTGACTCCTTTGAGCCGTTCGGAGGGGCGGTTTCTGGTAGTTGTGGCTTTTATGCTTTCAGAGAATTCCTTCAGTCCAGAGACTTCCTCCTGGCACCCCTGTGTGTGTCACCTACTGGTGACCTGCGGCAGTATGTACTTTCAGTGCACCTACTGCTTACTGTTGCTTTAGTCACTTACCACTTTCTGGTTTGAAAGATGCAGTGGTTCCTCCCTCTCCTGAATCCTATGTGATGCCCTGCTAACCCAGGCAGCCTCAGCAGAGCAAGAGTCTTTCCAGACTGGCTGCAATCACTGACATCTTACTTTATGATAGGAAAGTCCTACCTAGGGCACTTTAAGTCAATGACAGCCCTGAATTTGCACTTCCTCTGTTGCCTGTAACTGTCTCCCCAGAGCAGGAGCTTGTGGAGATATTTTGGATGACGTTGCAGTCTGCAACAAGTGTTTCCGCCTTGGGAACCTTTGGAAGCACTCATGTCTTTTCTCATATCATGCTAGCCACTAACATATTTAAGGTATGTACTGTTTGCCCAGATCTTATAAAAGTCAATCGTTTTTCTAAACAAAAAAAGACGTACTGCACTCAGAAATGTCATTCTGCAGATTTACTGTGGTTACTTTTATCATTTATTTATAAAAGTACACTTGCCAAAATACATTACATATAGTACTTAGTGTTTGCAAGACCTGCACAAAAAGAGATAGAGTGGCAGTTGTGCTCAGCATTTGGTGACAGATTCACTAAGGTTAAAGCACTGAGCTGGGAAAAGTTGCTAGAGAAGGAATGAGCACACTGACCCAGAAGTCCCAGGTGGAATGCCACATGCCTGGTGCACGTATGCCCTGAGCTGCTTCACATGGTGTTTTTATTTTAGTAACCACGTTCAATGCCTGAGAATTTAGCAGAGAGGAACACTGCGTCTTTAAATGAGAAAGTATACAATCCTTTTTTTTTTCCTTTTACAGCATGTCAGCATCTCAAGTTAATTTTTCAACCTACGATATAACAATTTATAATACAGCCTTCATGAGCTCATGACATGAAGCACTGTTCTATTGTTAAGTACTCAGATATTTCTGAACTGCTGAGTTAAGATAAGAACATCAGAAAAAGCTAGCACTAAGTCATGTTCAGAGCTCTCCATATTTTCCTGATCTCTTTAAGTACTTGTTCCTGCCACTGTGTACTGTGGAGTTGACTCGGTGTTCTGTCCCAGTGCGGTGCCTCCTGACTTCCCCCACTGCTCTCTGTGGTGAGAAATTTGCCTTGTTCAATAATTACTGTACCCTCGCATGACTGTTACAGCTTTCTGTGCAGAGATGACTGTCCAAGTGCCACATGCCTATGATTGAAACGAAAAATCTGTTGTTACCTCTGAGTTGTGTTCCACGGAAAATGCTATCCAGCAGATCATTTAGGGGAAAAAGAAAATCAATTTTTAGCTTTTCATTTCTCAGCTGTCCTTTTACTTGTTTGTTTTTTGACAGCAATGGAGAATGGGTTATATAAGACTGCCTGCTAATATGAACAGCACTGCACTTGTAATTCATGAAAATAAATGTACATCTTTATCTTCACATTCATGTTAAGATTCAGTGTTGATTTCCTCTGGATCACCGTGTCTGAGTAGACAGTCAGATTCAGTTTGTACTTCAGTCAGAAATGCTAATGGGCCTCTGTTCACATCCCAGGCACTGCCCCACACTTCAGTTTAATGGCCTAAAAAGGTTCTTTTTCTCCTCTGCACAGCAGGTAATTTTGGCATGGTCCTTTGTTCAAATAGTCTGTTAAACCCTGATGACAAAACCCAAACATCTCAGGTTGGAATCTCTGGTTCCCTCTAAGGAGGACCTGGCTGTGTACCCCACAGCTGCTGCTGGGCACAGCCAAGTGCTGGGAGGGACTGCCCAGCATCACATGGCACATGCCACCCAGCCCAGGGTGCTGATGCTGTCGTCTCCCGTGGCTAAAGAAGGATACTGACTCATCCTCAGAAATCAGAATCAAATCTTAATTCTTGCCCTAAAATACGTGGTTATCATTTCTGCACTCAGAGCTGCCATGTGAAGGTCCACCCAGCATTGACAGGATATAGAGATTGACTGTTATTTGATACATTGACTAATAAGTTTTTGTTTTAAAAAGAGCATTGACAGTTTTATTATTATTTCTTTGTATTTTTTTAAATGGAATGTTAATATTACTATGAGGTTAATTTGCAGTCCTCTTCTAAATAGAAAACCATAGTTACTAATATCTGGGGGCTACAAGCTCTTTGCCATCCCCTTTGTTGGCACTGTACAGTCAGAGTGGCATGAAACCACTCACTGCATTCTATAATCACTCTAGCCACATGCTGTCATTAATATCATGTCACATAATTTAACGGGTCAGAAAATTGTTTTAACCAACATATCTGTGAAAACTAGTTAATATGTGTAATAGACTCATTATATGTTGCCTCTTACATTTCTAGATATACAGATCAGGCATATCAATTCATGTTGATGATACCAACACCTCCATTATTAATATTCTCTGATGAGTTTTCAGACAGATGGCTTTTTTTGGTGTCTAAAATACAAGCAAAAAATTCCTATTGAAACATTCCAGTCCTTTCATTGGTTTGAAACTGATACCCAGCAAGCCAGTGACATAGATGCAGGCAGATACATTGTGAGGACTCTGCCTTGTTGCAGGTCTTCAAAGGTCGTCTGACCTTTGCAAGGTCGTCTGACTGCGACACACAGACCACTGTGGTGTCTGGGTAGAAGAACATCGCGTTCTGCACGCAGTGCACTGTGCATGGTGTGTTCATGCTCATCTCACATGCATTCCTGCTGCTCTTGGGTGCAGGCAGTGGGTGTGATAGCCATCAGTTTCGGGGAGCTACATGTAGAGCTGTCCTTGAGAAGGAGTTACAAAGGTGGTCTACCCACACCGCATGCCACACAATTTTCAAATCATTCAGAGGAGACTGTTTTATCTTTATTTGCTTATGTTAATACAGTTTTTAAATTGGTAACTTTTATATAGTATAGTAACAGTATGTCAGTACACAAATACATGCACACATGCTTTGGGTCCTTCCATAATACTTTTATATTTGTAAATCATGTTTTGGAGCAATCCCAAGTTTGAGGGAAATATTTTTGTAAATGTAGTGGTTTTGAAAATCTGAGCAATCCTTTTGCTTGTACATTTTAAAGCACTTGCGCTTTAAAATTGTGCTGGTGTTCTGAAACCTGATATTCCTGTAGCACAGGTGAGCAGCATGTAAAAGTGGAGTATGGTGTGGCTTCTCTCCTTGTCCAACTCGACAGGCTAGAACAGCAGCAACCAACTGGGAATTCAAAATGAAGTGGCTAGGGCTGCACCAGGTTCGCCTAAAGCGTGTTGCCTTTTTTGTGCCGTTTATCCGTGTAGAGCACTCCAGAAAGTTCTGAAACTGCTTTGTATCTGCTTTGTACTGTTGGTGCCTTCTTGGTATTGTGTACCCCAAAACTCTGCATAGATTATTTAGTATAATGGTAAGTTTTAAAAAATGTTAAAGGAAGATTTTATTAAGAATCTGAATGTTTATTCATTATATTGTTACACTTTAACATTTATTTGTGGTATTTGTGATTTGGTTAATCTGTATAAAAATTGTAAGTAGAAAGGTTTATATTTCATCTTAATTCTTTTGATGTTGTAAACGTACTTTTTAAAAGATGGATTATTTGAATGTTTATGGCACCTGACTTGTAAAAAAAAAAAAAAAGAAAAACTACAAAAAAAATCCTTAGAATCATTAAATCATGTCCCTGTATTACCAAAATAACATAGTACTGTGCATGTATAGTTTAATTGCAATTTTACATGTGAAAGTATGAAATCGTCTATTCCTTTATTACAATGTTTCCCAAATAAGTGTGTCTTCCTCTTTTGATTTTGCTATGGTGGTGATAGGATTATAAGCCAGTGCTCTGGAATCCATGGGGGTTTTCCAGGTGGTTCTTCAGACTTTGGGCATACAAGGGGAATTAAGGCATTCTGTGTCTTCTCTATAGTCCCACTGGACTTCAGCAACCAAGGTAGTAGGGTAGACGTCATCAGCAACCCTTTTTCCAGCCCTAGAAGCCATGACCATATTACTCAGTCTTGGACATTTGGTTCTTGTTAATTTTGGGCATTATACAGGGACCTATTTCAAGACAAAGATATTGGGAAATGTTTTTGCTGTGATATTACAGGATGAACACAGGCTATGGGCCACTGACATTGAGTTCATACCCTCCCTGTTTGCTTACAATGACAACTACTTTTGGGCTACTTGTTCTACTTCTGCTTGCTTCACTCTTGTCAGCTATAAAGTGAAACCAATTTGATTTATGTGTTGTAAAGATGATAAAAAATCTATTTCAGGGGCCGGGGAAATGGCTCAGTAGAATAAGCGCTTCCCTGGTAAGCGCAAGGGCCTGAGTTCAATCCCCAATTCCACCAAATATTTTTTTTTTTTTTCCCCCAAAAGGTTAGCATAGAACCTCAAAGCAAGTACTCAGTAAATAGCAAGTTTTCCCAAATGCGTTTTGGTTCTTTAAATATTGTTAGAAGGTGTCACTAAATGTCTGCCTACTAAAGAAACTGCTTTGTGTTCATCAGAAAGACGGAAACCTGTCCGAAACTTTATTCAGGGAAATGAGTTGAGGAAGGCTATAAATGGTTTTGGTTTGGTTTGGTTTGACAGTACTGGGGATTGAATTTAGAAGCGGATGTGTGCTGTGCAAACACTCTTCCACTGACTGTATCCCAGCACCACTCCCCCTTTTTAAATTTTATTTTAAACATTGTCTTGCCAAATTACACATGCCAGCCTCTGGCTTATGATCTTCTTGCTTCAGCCACCCTGACAGATGGGATTACGGGTGTGTACCACCAAACTGGAAATTTGTGATAAGGCATTTGAAACCCTGTGGGCCCATCACATTTGCCTTTTCCCTGAAAGGTTCCTTGTTGAAACTCTATAGAAAGCAATCACAGTCATCTTCCTTGTTTGGTGAAGAAGTCTGATAATCACTTTTCCCCGGTTTACCAGTGGTGGCCACCTTCCCTCCATGGCACAGCCATTCTGGCTGACAGTAGACCAGCATCCAGGCTGTCTGCTCTATTTCATCAGAACCATGTATTCAGTGCTGACCAGAACATACTCCAGGGCATCGAAAGGTGAAAGAATAAAGCCAGACTATCAGGGTTACCAAGCAAGTACTAGGGGGCAGGAATAAAAGGGCTTGGGGAGATCCAGAGAGAAGCAGTAAAAAGATGTTTTTCTGGGGAGGAAGGACTGGCTGGCGTGTCTCAGTGAGTCTAAGAGCAAGAAACCAGCAGAGAGGCAGAGCACATGCAAGGGGTGATGGGCCAAGTGGAAGGGTGGGAACGGGATTGACACTGGGGCTCATTGAGTGGTGGCCCAGTGGTGCCAAGAATGGCTAAAAGGAAAGTCATGTAGTCATGTTCTAGGTAGAAAGGAAATCCAGAGAAGTCATGCCCTATAATATATCTTTTAGATGAAACAAGGAACAAGCTCACTGCTGAGGATAAAGAAGGTCCTCCATGAGAAGTAGAAACAACTGCCTGGTACTAGGGGCCTGTGGTGACAGCTAGGAAACAGTTCTCAGGTCCTGCATGTCATGGGTGAAGCAGAAGTCCAAGGGGACAAAACAGCCATAAGACTGAAGAGATGAAAGGGACAGCAGTGGGTGGTCAGAGACCACACTGTGGACACCGTCTGTGGACCCCAAGTGGACAGTGAAGAGATAGTAGTGAGAATTCCCACCACAACCTGATTTCTTTGAAGGTAGAGTGTCTTGAAACAGCCAGAATGGAGTCTGGGGAGCAGAAAGTCATTACGATAGAGCTATGCAGAACCCTGAATACATGAGGCATGTTTCCCTCGTGGATAACGATGAGAGGGTAACAGTGTAGAAGGGAGGGAAAGAGCTCCCAGTCAGTTTCAGTTGCAGTGTACCCAATGGAAAAAACAACTGGATTTCATCCCAATTTATTGATCTGCTTGCAGATCAATTGAACACCACTGAATTTCTGCTGCAGACCTGCAAAGCCAGCCTCTGGGCTGCGTCAAGTATCATCTCTGCCTTCAGAAAAATCCCTAAAAGTGAAGGAACCTAGGGAAAGGGGAGTTTTCATTCATATGAAGAGCAAGACCTGTGTCCATAGCATTGTAGTTATCTCGTGAAATGTGCATTTAAATTCTTGGTGATTGTAACAGGAATGTGAGGTGAGTCATCTAAAGAACAGCCATTCAGAAAGACCCTGGATGCCCATCAGCTTCCTCACATGAGCTCTAGCCACCTCAGTGCTGTGGTCACAGATCAGCAAATAGGCAGGAGCCTTCTTTGATGCACGACGACTGTAATTGTAATCCCTAGCTAAATTCTCTTGTTTTCCATTCCATTTTGCATTTCTTCACTTCCTGTCCCCAAAGGTTTTTTGTTTGGTTTTTGGTCTTTTTGAGACAGTCTCACTATGCAGTTTAGGCTGGCCTTAAGTTCACTTTGTAGCCCAGGCTGGTCTTGCATTTGCAATGATCCTCTTGCCTTAGCCTCCCAAGTGCTGGCATTACAGGTGTGTACTACCACACATGACGCAGAATTTCTTGTATAAATAATAGCATTATGCATCCACACATGAGCCCAGAGGCAGGCAACATACAATAGCCAGGAGGTTAAGCTTGCCAGGCAGTGAGTGTTGCAGCAAATGAAATAAGGGGGCCTGCCCTCGCCTACCAGGCTGGCGATCCTGCAGGCCCTAAGCATTCAGCTAAGTTAACTATTAAATACAAAAAATTAAAAACTACAACTCTCAGGACTAGAACCTGACAGGACTTGTACCGTCAGCAGTGTGGAAGTGCATTGTGATGTGCTGGGTGGGCCAAGGAAGGAGGCCTAGCAGTGGCAGAGCAGTCATGTGACAGATACACAGACTTGGGAAAGAAGTGTCAGAATTGAGTCGGCAGGGGCATGCCATGCGCCACGGTATGTAGTTGTAGTCAGCCCTTGAGGCCAAAGAAGAAGGATCACTTGCGGCCCCATCTAAGAATATAGATGAGGGAAACACTTGGTTGAATGGAAGTTGAGGATTGATTTTCAATTTCTTGGCCAAAAGAAACGAGCCAACGGCCCTTTGTACAGTAAGACCAGAAGGTAGCAAATCACTTGTCTCCTGTGGGGGGTGGGAGCTGCCTGTTGGGCCAGTGACACATCTGAGTGGTAGCAAATAGGCAGTGGGAGCTAGGGCTGGGCTGTGTCAGCCCAGAGTCCCTGGACCAGGGCCACGCCTTTCTAGCCCAGAACGCAGCCCCAGAGAAGGGTTTGCTACAGATAGATGATTCAAGGACATGTGAGTTGTCCACAAGTTACTGTGTTGATGTCCTAAACATAGAATTGAGCAGGACACCCAAAAGTAGGAGCAGGATTGGTGATTTTTTTTTTTTTTTTTTTGCGGAACCAGGGATTGAACTCAGACCCTTGTGCTTGCTAGGGAAGCACTTATTCCACTGAGCCATCTCCCCGGCCCCTGTGATTTTTTTTTTTAAGTAATTTGTTTGAAAGAGAAAAGATGATAACTTCCACAAGTGGGAGTGGGCCGGTGAGGACCTCAGCACCAAGAGGGTTTATTATGCAGTATTCTAGGACTTGGGATTCGGGTGGGATTTAGGACTTGGTCTGAGGTATGATTCCTCATGGAAATAGAGCAGGTAGCACCTCAAGAAAGAAAAAATAATGTTGATTTCTTCAAAGTGTTTCATTCTTTAAGTTGGTTTTTAAAGTCTTTGCTACACAAAGTTATATTTTTCATTCTTTCACATTTTTATCACCAGTGCCCTTTCATGAAATGAAATCTCTAGGTTGACTGGCACCCCGCCTATCTACCTCCCATCAAATGGTGTAACGGTTATGTCACAGAGGAGAAAAAAACAATGATAGAAACCTTGGAGGGGCTGGTGAGATGGCTCAGTGGTCTAAAGCACCTACTTAGAACAAGCTAAGCTGGGCTGGAGAGATGACTCAGTGGTCTAAAGCACCTACTTGGAACAAGC